GTGTATATATTTTTTAGTTTATTTTAATCATTGTTGGATTCCAAAACTAGAGCTAGACACAACGGACACATAGTAATCTTACTGAAGACAAAGACATAAACAAGAAGACATTTGCACCTAATATAAAATGAATAAAACAATGTTTAATTTAGTGTTCCTCGACCTCCTGTAGTCTGTGGGATTGTACATTTGTTTCTTCAAAAATTCAAAAATGATGATTATATTATTATAATATTAACATGCACGAGGTATGAAATCCTTTTACACTTTTGAATTCAACATATCTCTTGGAATCTTAACCTTACTAAGCTTGAACTTAGTTAAGAGAATTAACTTTTTAGTCATGCTTAAGCCCTTTAATGTGGTTGGTTGATTGTTTTATACTCCAAACTTCATATAATTACGGAGTACTCAATCACTTTGGTTTGGGGATATGGAAATTTCACAATTCACCATATGAAAGGGAAAAGTGAAGAAACAAAACTAAAAGTATAATGCAAAGAATTATGATTGTATGTAGTATAAGATCGGCTTGTAAAATGTCTAGATTTAAGTAGAAATTTTTGAGTTAGCCTAATTGAGCTTGTGACATTTTTTTTTTATTCAGAAAAATAATGTTGAAGAATGTTTTAGATTAGATATAAACAGCTCAAATTAATAACAAGGTCGGGTTTAAAAAGGTTTGAAAATATTATATTGGAACAGAATAAGACGCAACTTGATCCCTTAAGGTCTTGCTTTTTTGGATTTCTTTTTTAGGTCAGGTCGCTTCAATTCAATTTTGTTCATATTATTATTATGATTTATTCTTTCAAATCTTTTACTTTTTCGACTCATTCAAATAAAACAAGTTCAACAAACATGCAAGTTGTAAATATTTTGGGTAAATAAGAATAAGTTGAAAAATACATTTGTATACTATAATTATTAGGATCGATAAAGTATATGACTAATAGGTAAAGAAACAATCAAAGAAGATGCAATGTTTAGATTCCAAAAGAAGAAAAATACAACCAAAAAACATTGCATATCAATTATTCATGAGTTCATGACCTCTCAAGTGACAAGTCAAAACTCAAAAGATGAAACTTAAATAAGATGGGTCATATATATGTATCTTCATAATGTTTAAGCCTATCCAACAAATATACACCAAAACAAACAAAATTATAAATGAGGTAGAACTCATTATTACATCAATGAAGCTAATGCTAAGGCCCACGAAGCACCAAGATATGAAGCAACCCTAAGTGTTTAATTGAGACGAGACTTTTGACATTTTTTTTTGACAATTAAATAAATTATAGGGTACTTTGTAATTTAATAAACCCAAAAAAAATTGGTTAAAAACTTTAAGGCTTAAATCCCAAGTGTCGGAGTTTGGTTAGACATAACTCTAATAGGGTAAAAAGATGAGGGTCCCTTTTTCTTCTTCCTTTTTCAATCATAATGTTAAGCGTGCGGGTGCTATTTCTCAAGTGTGATTTTACGACTTTGACAACATATAATTCTTTAAGTGTACTTTTTATTTTGATAAAAGATTTATATTCTTTTTCTTTTTTGGTACAAATTACTTTGATGCAAAGAATTGAAGAGAAAAACTTATCTTTCATGCATAATGAGGTTTGTAAGTGTCCTCTTATTTTCTAACAATTTTAATCTATATGTTTACTTTAACAAGAAAATTTTGTATAATTTCCATTGTGATTTAACATGTAATTATGTTGTCTTTAATTAGACTTAAAGTGGAATGATGTGAGTAAAGTGAAGAGAGTTGTGAAACATCACTAGTTTAACGCTCTGGATTTCTTTTCCTAATTGTTTAACTAAAGTTATTATGTACAAGTTTTTAAAAATGCACTTTGTATCTATGTGATTGTCTAAAACTAATATTTTCTCTAAGCAATAGTGTGTTATCGAGTGATTTGAATTGTTATATGAAGAAATAATAATGCACCACTTGTTTAATTGATGGATAATAGATACGAGTAATAAGAAAAGTTAGTAAATTATAATACAAAATGAGCATTTACTATATGTAGTGATAAGCAAGATTCAAAGTATCAATGAGCATTTAAATTGATAGCATAAGGACGTAGTATTAAGTTATGAATTTACGATAGTAGCACACTAGCACATCGAACTCTAACCCGTTTTTGCTTATCAGTTTATTACTTGTGTGTTGTTGTAACTTTTGTAAGCCTTTATAAATATTGTTGCACGGTTGCAGCACATGTTTTAAAGCATTCCAAAACAAATAAAATTCAAGGAGATCCCAAAACAAATAAAAATTTTCATCGAATCCGCTTGTGCCCGTCTCGACCTACTTAGTGGTCACAAGCCTCAATCAACCTCAAACTTCGCTCTTGTCGTCAATAGGTAAAAGTGTCCATCAATCTCATCTCCCACTCGGCCGCTCGATCGTGTTGCTTCATGCTCACAAACTTCTTTCTGCATGCACTAGGTTTGGAATCTTGAGTCTCGGTTAAGAAACACTAAGAAACACGAGCTTAAAACCTAAACTAGGCCAAAAATACACAAGCATAAGCTTACGTAAAACTTTATAAATTTCAAATCAATCAATCATACTTTTCGTTAAACACCGTCACGTATTTATAAGCTAAATAATTAGCCTAAAAATCGCGTAGAACAAATTCTAATCTAACTAGAAAACTAACCCTAACTTGTAAAGATAATATTTTGCAAATGTGATTTTTAAAGTTAAGCTTATCTTCTACTAACCGAATTAAACTAACAAAAATATCCTAATAAATTCGGTCACCTAATAATAAAATTGAAGTTAACATAAAAATAATTAAAATAACAATACTGATGCCTTGGAACCACATCACCCTCATTGCCAATAGATAAGTGTGCACCCGCACAGATCTAGTGTCAAAAAACGTGTACCATGGCATATGCGATTTATGTTACTCAAAAATCAAATTGTTGTATGTATTGAAAACGGAAAAGTTACATCTTGAGTAAAAGTAAAATGTAGATAAAATTTACTAATTATATATATAAAAAAAATGTTCTTAGGATTTTTTTTAATAACAGATTCCGTTACTTAATTAGTAGGGCAAGACAGCTAACGTTGTCCAGCTAGTGAAAGTGGTGATATTAGACTCCAAAAATAAAATGCATGTAGCAGTACCACCTTAGTTGCTTAAGTTTTACATTGATTGGGTAACATTATCTTAATTAATGGTGAGAATAATAGTACTAATGACAGCTTAATTACAAACGTACTATCTGGCAAAAAAGAAAACAGCGGCACTATATTGACAATATTGTAAGAAATTTGGTCAACTGACCGTTACCTTTGACTGAATCATGTTCTTAAGTTGGGGATTATAATGTGTTTTTTCACAATCTTCCCATGACTTTCCTTTGGCTAATCCCTTCATCCATACTCATAGTTATATATTGATGTAATCATGCAAATGAATACTGGTATAAAATTTGCTCACAAATTTTAATTTTGGTTTACATCCAGAGAGACATAAAGAGCAATGGCGTAAAGGATTAATCTTACGTAAATAACAAGCATTATAATTATCGGTACGATTTAAGAAAATAGGGTTACAACTATAACAAGTTTATATAGTTCAAAATAAGTCTTTTCAATTAAATTAAGCTAAGTGTTAATACATACATTCAAATATGCGGATAAAATATACTCCCTCTGATTTGTCCCATTTTATAGTCATGTGGGGTCTTGTTAGATTAGTCTCATTGTATATTTTATTAATATCAAACTTTTATAATTTTTACGCATATAAAAATGAAGTTATGTACGTTATAAAGCGTGCCTTAGATACTGTGAAAAAGTCAAACAGGGCAAAAAAAAAATATAGGGACAAAAGGAGTACTTTGTAATTATTGAAGTATATCCTACCAAATAACACATGTAAGTGTCCCACATTGAGAAAGTAAGAGAGAGTTAAACACTTTATAAGGCTAAGGGGCTACTCCTCTTATTGCCATATGGTTTTGGGATGGAATGCATTTGAACTTGTGAAGTGGACTCTCTCTCTTGGTTTGCGAGTGCGGCCCAGACCCGTACTTAACAGTAATTAAGGGGAACTAGGTGAAAATAACACATTATTAGATCAATAAGTAACAGTACTTCATTTGGTTTTTTAGTTGTAACACTTGGATTTATGCGGTATACACTATACTTTAAAGTATATATGTTTACTATTATTAATCATTTATATTCAAGAAAACAAAGTTACGAGAATCCTACTTGATTCATCTGAATAATCTCAATGCATACTGTTTTTCTACATGTAATTTTCAATTTTTTAGAAGTTTGAAAATACGCATTGATAAGCTTGAAAATCAACCGTTGCAAATATACAAACAAAAGAAAGTAAACGGTCTAATAATTAGTTTTAATTAGGTGTAGACAAGTTGCAACACTCTTAGTTTCATTATACTTGTTACACTTTGATGCTTTTAGTGAGATTTTTCTAATTTAAACTTAGTTTTTCTAAAATATGTAAAAATAAGGTGAATCAAACATGACCTAAATTGAGAAATAAAGTGTATACAAGTATATATTTTAAAAGAAAAGAATAGGTTACTATTTTTTATTTTATTTTTTTAAATAATATAGTTTTTTTGATTAACTTGTAAAAATATTGCCTTTGTCAAAAAAAAAAAAAAAAAAAAAATTTGTAAAAATAAGAGAAGAAAAAATAAAGTTTGGCTAATTAAAGAGAGAATAGTTTAAAGCTTGATATTTTCATTTGTAAATAAAGTGAGAATAGTTTAGAGCTTGATCAAAAGAACAAACTATGACAAAATTGACATGAAATATTGATGACCAAAAATAACTATTGGTCACTAATAATAATGCTACAAGTTATAGCTAGTCAAAACAATAGAGTGACACCCTAATAGTAATCTTGATCAAAAGATCCAAAATTACAATTTGCTCAATCTAAAACCTATAGTCTATATACTTTATACTCTATAGTCTACAATTTCCAATTCCAATTTTGATTTTCTCCTTATCTTGTACAAGTGCACAAATATAAAGTCCAATCAATAATAAGTACTTTGATAATATTGTCCATTTTCCATCTTCTTTTTTTTTTCTTTTTCTTTTTTATTTTTCCTTTTAAAATCTTCCATAAAATGATGAAAACCCCTGCCCCCAACTTTGTCTTCTTCTTCCTTATCACATGCTTCATAAAAACCATAAAATTTAAACAAATCTCTCTTTCTCTTTCTCTCTCTTCCCCTGTTACTTCTGACACAACAATGAAGTCATAAAACTCAGTTCTTAAGTTAACTTTTATTTTCCTCTTTTAATTTCTTTCTCCCCCATTTTTTTTTTCCTTTTAAAATCCTTTTTTCAGCTTCACTCTTTTTTCACTTCTTCTTTCTCTCTCTAAAAATAATTGAGATGATCTTACACAGATTTAGCTAAACATCAGAGTACCAAAACCTCTGTTTTCACACCCAAAAAAATTTCCCATTTATTTATTTTTTCCCAATTTCTTCTTTTTAATGTCACCCATTTCAATTAAAATTCAACCCTATTTTTCCAATCAAATTTAACCCAAATCCCAGAATAAAGTTTCAACCTTTTCCATTTTTCATTAATTTTTTCTGAAAAAAGATTAAACTTCATTTTAGGCTATTATCTTTCTTCAACCATTTTCACCAAATTACTATCTTTTTTTGGCATTAAAATTAATTTTCAACTAAACCCAAAAAAATTTCTATTTTTGAAAAAAAACCCACCTCACTTAAACCCCCCATTTCCATCAACTTTCTACCAAAAACCCGCCTCCCAAAAGTCCCAACTTTCTCTCTCCTCCTCTGTTTTCCCCTGTTTTTAACCCCAAAAAAGTTGAAATCTTTACACTTTCCATTACTCTCCACATGCATTCATTAGTTGGGCATTCTCTGATCTGCACCAAATTGGGGTGAAATGGGTTGTTCAATGTCAAATTTGGCAGCTAAATTTGCTTTCTTTCCACCTTCTCCGGCAACTTATGAGGTAAAGAAGAGAGATTCCGACGGCAAGTTTGTGGCGGTTTCGACGGCTGCGGCAGTTCCAATTCCTCAAGGAGATGACCCACTTTTGAATGTTCATGTTATTGAAACTAAAAGAGGAAACAAGATTGTTGCTTTTTACTTGAAAAATCCTTATGCTAGACTTACTGTTCTTTACTCTCATGGCAATGCTGCTGACCTTGGTCAACTCTATGATCTCTTTGTTCAGCTTAAAATCAATCTTAGAGTCAACTTAATGGGGTCAGCTTTCTTTCTTCCTCTCCTTTTTAATTTTAATTTTTATTATTCATTTTACAAAGTTCTATTGTTTGTTCTGTTTTGCCCTGTTTTGTTTGTTTTTTGAGGGTTATGGGCATGTGGGGTTCTAGAGATTTGAGTATTTTTTGGGTTTAGAAGTTTAGTCCTGTGGACGGGATTTGATCCGAGGTCTTAAGTAATAAGTAACACCCCTCGAGAAAGTCGAGGATTTACTAACTAAGCTAGCTGACATCTACTTGGATTTGTTGTTGTTGTGGATGAAATTTTATGTATTTATTGGTGATGGTGTAAGAAAAAATTGAGTGCTTGTAAATTTGCATGGTTGGATTTATGTTTCTGGGTTTGGTTGCAAGTTGAAAAAAATGAGCTTAATTTCTAATTTATTTTTTTTTAATTTTTTGATGGGGATTGTTTAATCTTTACTTTTTTCTGTAAGGGTAACAGTAAAGTTCTGTTTCACGTTGGCCATAATTTTTTGGTGAAAAGCTTTTGATTTTACTCACTGAAAGCATAAATTTTGGACTTACTTTTGTTAGAAAATGACATTTTTCTCCCTTGTGAGCTAATACTATCCAGCTTTTTTCCAAAAAAAATTAACTTTTGGAATAAATAATGAGTATATTTTGATAATAATTGAAAACTACTAAACAAAATTCAATGGAAAAGGTTTTCTTTATTTTTTTAAAAAACTTTTACAAGGATAATTGTTTCATTATTTTGGCAAATTTGTGGTCACACCAATTTGTTAAAGCCCAACTTTTGATGCATTACATTTTCGATAACTTTGTGTGTAAAGACATGTATTTTTAGTGTTTTTCACGGGGGTAGTTTGTGAGACACTATCTGTTTTAGGCCTTTGTGCCTCTAGTTTAGCGTGGGATTGTTCTTGGGAATTTATCATTTTTTATGTTAATAATTGTGATACATTTCTCTTTTGGTTTTAGTTCAATTTATTTTCAATTTTCTGTTTTCCCTCCAAGTTTCCATCTTTTGATTGTACTCATTATAATGGATTTGAATTAAACCTTTTTCTTCAATTATCTTGAACTTCGTATTGGTTGCGACGAGGTGTGTTCATTTGCTGTCAATCTGTAAAGTGTTTCTCTGTGTCTTATCAGTGGTTTCATTTGAAAAAACCTCATTGCAACCGAAGTATCAATCCTTATCAAGTGTTTCTCCGTGTCTTATCGATCATTCCTTACCCCCACCTAAGCGTAAGCCTCATTGATTGCATTATGGTACTTTTACTAGTCTATGTGTATATATATATATATATATATATATATATATATATATATATATATATATATATATATATATATATATATATATAGGTTGATATTGGTCCATAATCAAAAAATAAAAAAGTTCAGAATTGGTCCATACTTTGTCCTCTAGTAGTTGATTATTAAAATTGATTTTGTCCCTCCATTTTGTGAATTGCAAAATTATGCCCTCATAGAGGGAGTACCAAATTCAATCTTGACGTGGGAAAATTAACTGGCAAACTTGTTCGTAGGCGCACATAATAGGGTTTTACGTGAGGTAATGTGGCTGCCCCAGTTTCTCAGTTGAGAAACAAGTCATGTATCCCAAAATAGCATAAGTGTAAATAAACTAAACTTTGTTAATATTTTATTATTTATTGTTGAACTTCTTTTCCATCTTCTTTTATCATCTTCTTATCCAACCTGTCTCCATCTTCTTCCTCAATCCCAAACCACGACCCACGACCCACAAACCTCCACCTCCACCTCCATCTTCTTCCTCAATCCTCAATCCGAAACCACGACCCACAAACCTCCATCTCCATCTTCGTCCTCAAGCTCTCCTCTCGTGAACCACTGAACCACCGCTTTCACCATCATAATTAAACAAAAACCCTAAAAATAATGGAGAAATTTATGGTATGGTTAACCCCAAAGGGTATGAATGTTATCCTCCTCCATTGAAGTCGATTGCCGTGTACAATTTCACCATTGAATACATGCTTCTCCATTAAAGCTCTTCTACTTTGCTAAAACAGTTTCTCCATTTATTAGACAATTTAACAATTTTAACCCAATGATAAATTTACCCCTTTGAGATACATAATATGTTTCTCATGTTGAGAAACTTGAATTTTCTATGAGGTAATCATCTTACCTTGAGTGCAAAGGTGTGGACACTTGGACTCTTCAATTCAGCCTGAACATGCGAAAATATTTCACAATAGTTGGCTGCAAAGATATGTGTACTTGTGTTGAAAACTTGTCACAACTCACAAGGGGACATGCATTGTAAATTTGTAATGCATAAGGTTAGTAGGTAAGTTTTGATTTGTAGGGTAGAAGTACTCTATTACGAGTATATTTGTTGAGAGAGTGGGAGACCCGTCTTTTTGGCAGAGAGTTGTTTTTGTTGATTTGCATGTTGTGTAAAATTTGGTTCCTCTTGAATCAAATATGCTAATTGGCTCAATGAGATTTCATTTTTGCCCTTTGAAGCTTGGATCATACTGCGTATCAAATTTACTTTATATCACGTCTTTCCTGAAGTACTGGTCATTTCACAAATTGTTATCTTTCCCATGTATTCATTGCTATTGGGCGTTCATCAATTTTTTGTGTGCAAATCTGTAGGTATGATTACTCTGGGTATGGTGCGTCTACTGGTAAGGTAGGCTGTTACACTCATCAGCATATATTTACAATATTTCCTAATTCCTGAATCATAATAGGCACATTGTAGAATTTACAATTCTTGTAAATAGCAATGCTACAATGTTTTTCCCCCCTTAAATCTGGAAACACCTCTACACAACATTGCTCAATATGTCGATAAGTAAAAATCCTGTATAACTTGTAATTTCAAGTCAAGCTAGCAATGCCTCCACAATCCCTAAAAGATGGTAACACCCTGAAGAAGGTGAAAATTAAAGAGATACTATGCATTTATAGCCTGCTCGTCTTCTATATTTGAGACAGCCGAGTTCAGAAAATTTGGTCATCTGAATAATCACTTCGTTCCATTGCATTAAGTAGTTGATTATTTAGAGCTTATGCCACGACTCAAACTGTTTTCTTGCCCATGTTCTCTTAAAAACTTTCCCACCATGAAGTTCCTTAACTTCTCATTACGTAGATTGTAGCATATACAAACATGTAGATATTTGTACGTACCTGACGGCCTCCAAATTGGCTGGCTTTTTTTTTTTTTTTTTTTTTTTTTTTTTAATTTTTAAAATCTAAGGCTTCTTAGAATCTTAGATACTGATCTTTTCCACATGCTTTCTCTCTGATCCAGCCAAGCGAGGCCAATACATATGCAGATATAGAGGCTGTTTATCAGTGTCTTCAGACTGAATACGGAGTAAGTCAAGAAGACTTAATTTTATACGGGCAGTCAGTTGGAAGTGGGCCCACACTGCACCTTGCAGCAAAACTGCCAAGATTGAGGGGGGTGGTTTTGCACAGTGCCATCCTTTCCGGGCTTCGTGTACTGTGCCATGTGAAATTCTCGTTCTGTTTTGATATTTATAGGGTGAGCGAGCTCTTTTTTCATCTTTATTTAAACTATAAATTTAGGGTTCTGCCTCTTTTTCCTTCTCACTAGTGTGTGTACATTCATCTGCATTCTTCTGTGGTTTGCAAGATGTTTTTCATTATATGCATGTATATATATGCCTAGCTTGGTGTGATGTGCAATCAAATGGATAGAAAAACTGACGATGAAGTTAGTCAAATTAGCTTGGTGCCTTTACAAATTCCTGCTTCGTTATAGTTGTTACGGCTTTTTAGATTGTGAATCATGTAGGCTGGTCTTGTAATTACTTAAGTGTCGATCCCCCGTGCATTTCCTGGACTTAACTATATGGTTCTTTGATGCAGAATATAAGAAAAATACGGAAAGTGAAGTGCCCTGCATTGGTGATACATGTAAGTTGTCTTTTTCATGTATCAGAATGCGTACTTTTGCCTGCTGACTTTGTGTCATTATTTCATATAGCGATGTGAATATCTAACTAGGTCATGAATAGTGAAATAATAACGAGCTTTATATTTATTAGCTGTCACAAGTCTGCTTTTCTGCTGAGAATTTGTTGGTGGTAATGACTAGTGAAATAATGAGTGCTATATTTATTCACCTGTCTATTAGATCAGGACTAAATTGAGCGAGGGAAAGGCCGAAAGGGAATCTGATTTGCATGATTTATGTATTATAATCACTTATTATATAGGTTGAAATATATGACTTGATTTGTATGATTTCTCCTTTTCGTTGCAAAAGTGTCGCTTAATAAAAGATGATTGCTCTTTACCAAGAATAATTCTTTAATCAACCCAATTCAATTAGTGTAATGAAATAGTATTTTGCCTTAATGCAAATTGAGTGAGTGACGTTTAAAGATGAAGGTTAATCTTAAGCAATGTCTTCTTACATACTCTAAGTAGTTACCTTTCTTTTGAGAATCGAGGGATTGAAAGAATAAAATAATTTGGGTTGTCTTTTGAAGGTTGGAACCATTTGCCAAAGCATTTTTTTTCAGGTCAGGTTTTACTTAAAGGAGAGTGAAAGACTTGTAGACTCTATGTAGTTGTCTAAAGAGCATTAAACATCTATAGACTTTAAATAGGAGTATAAGCTAAGTGTGGAATTTAGGGTGTGGGGTAGGAATTGAAAGATTAATTTATGAGGAAGTGGTCCTAGTACTTCTAGTGTTGCAAATTGATGCGAAGGATTAATGTATTAGATTGATGATTAGTAAAAGTGAATTTTTGAACAAGTGCACCAAGGTCATGTTTTGAACTTTGTTGTTATGGTTGGACTGTTGGAGGCTTGAGATATTTAGGATATGGGTGCTGTTAGCAAGAGACTACTGTTGCTAGGAAACACTGTAATTTATCAGTTATACTTATTCCCCTGTAAATAGTTGTCAAATGTCCTTGGAAAGAAGTGGTAGAAGAGGATGGAAAGAAACAAACAACTACTTCGTAATAAAGAGGGTAATGCAGTGACATCGAGGTGAATCCTTGATTATGAGGACTTGGGCCTATGTGACAATCAACTAAGGAGCATACCAACATACCAGTTAACATGTGCCAAACATATATCCTGAGAGCTAGAGCATTTGCTTTTTGAAATGGAATTGAGTATATACAACTTTTTTTCAATTCCACTTAGTTCGACTCTAAAACAATCATTAATTCTTTATTTTATTACGTTTTGTTGGAATCTTTTGAAAGGGTGTAAGCATTCTGTTCTTTGCATCTTCACTTTTGTTGTATCGATCTTACACAATGCAGGGTACTGAAGACGACGTAGTGAACTGGTTACACGGAAATGGATTATGGAAACGGGCCAGGGAGCCTTATGAACCCCTATGGATTAAAGGCGGTGGGCACTGCAACTTGGAGCTTTACCCTGATTACATCCGCCACCTATGCCGCTTTGTTCACGAAATGGAGAACATGACCACACAAACTCGGCTTAAGAAAATCCGAGATGTTCTCAACCTCCATCCAAAACCCCGTCATCCACCCACCAAAACGACCTGTAGCCGGTCTTGTAGCTGTTGGAACTGTTGTAGTTGTACCTGTAAGATGAAATGCTGGAAACCTCGATGGCCTAAATCTTGCTGCTCTCCGAGCTGCTGTTCTTGTTTCCAGTGCCCTAAATGCACAAGCTGCTGCAGCTGTTTTGGATGGCCAAAATGCTTGAGCTGCAGTTGTTTTAAATTGCCAAAATGCTCGAACTGCTGCAGCTGTTTTGGATGGCCAAAATGCTCAAGTTGCTGCTGCATACCTAGTTGTTTAAAATGCTCAAAACCCAAATGTTCGGAGGGTTGCTGTTCATGCAAAGGATGTTGTTCGTGGATTTGTTGTGGCTGCTGTTGTTCGACAACAGATCAAAGGCAGACAACGGATCAAAGGCAGACAACAAATCAAAGGCAGATAACTGAGCAAAGGCAGACAACAAATCAAAGGCAGATAATGGATCAAAGGCAGACAACAAATCAAAGGCAGACAACGGATCAAAGGCAGATAACGAATCAAAGGCAGGAGAGTTAGGACATAAGGGGTGGTTTATAGTATTTCTTTTCCATGTGAATGTGGGATTGTACAGATTCGCAGCACACTAGCTAACCTCCCTTGTTCTCATTCTCCAAATTGTGCAGTTTAGCACCCTAAGTTATACAAATTGTGGTTCCTCCTTCTCCTCGCTCGCACCCCCTTCCCTCGAAATCTTTGTCTTGTAAACTCTAATTCAGTTTTAGAATTAAAATTACTAGCCATCTTTACAAGCTTTGGCTGGGAAACTATACATGAATGATGTTGGATGTTTGACAGGCTGAGAAAAGCGAGAATTGATGCCCACATGACTGTTGTTCACTTGTAATATGTGGTTATCATCTGAGTAAAATCAAGAGTTATTCAAGATCGAAGCCAGGATCTTTAAAATGTTTTCGATATTATACTTGATAGAATAGGAAATATTTTGTTTATATTATGTGAAGCTATTTGGTAAGGACTTCGAAATACATAAAACGGTAAATATATAACAATACAAGGGAATAAACATCTCCAAACCCAAAGAAAATTATGAGTTTTAGACTTCTAGTATTGATTTACTCTCCCTAAAAGTTCTTTCTGTTTGGACGGTGATAGTCTAACAAAAACAAAAGCAGTCAAAACAAGAACTTTTAAAGGACTAACAAATTAATAATGCACCACACAGTAAAGTACATACACCCTAAACACCAATACACCATGTAAAGTACATCCAATGTTTATTTTAATAATGAAATGAACAAAACAAAGTATGTAATAAAAAAACGCTCATTTGCAAAAATCAATTTTATCAATAATAAAGTTAAATTCAAATTTTAATTGATAAGGTGAAAATAATTAAAAATAAATAAAACAATAGTAAGTTAGAAAATGCAGTAAAGGTTTGCATTATTGGTTTATAGTAATTTAAAGGGGAGCAAAACGTTTATTGCAGGCTATTACACGGACTCTGTTTCTCTTGTAAAGATGCTCAGGAAGAAATGAAAATTCTAATGTAGTCTTATGACTTTTGACTACCATAATTTTTTAAAATAGACAGCTGAGATTATTTGTTTTTCATTTATTTTTAATTAGTAATTTTAATTAAAAATTCACTTTTTAATTAATTTATATATATTTTTTTATTTCCAGAATTTCGAAATTATTAAAAAATAATTTCTATAAGATAAAAATATATTTAAAATAATCAAAAAATTATTTTTAATTAAATTACCAATTAAAAATAAATCAAAAAACAAATAATCTCAGCCGTCCATTTTAAAAATTATAGTAGTCAAAAGTCATAAGACTACATTAGAATCATCTTGTAACTAATGTCAGCCTTAGATGGACGATGGATGATATTCGGTGAACTAGTAAGGCCTTTACATGGTGTAGCATCCACAGTGTTCAAAGGGAACGAGTTCACAAGGCGCATATCCTTGCTACCATAGCTAATAGTAGTTTATCTTCCTTTAATAATGTTTTTTAATTGTTTCTTTAAGCTTATGTAAAAAAAAAAAGGGGTAATTTAAAGAATATTGTTAAAACCAAAGATTCCAACTTTCTAAGTTGTAACATAGTATTGGATACTTTTTTTTTTTTTTTTTTTTTTTTTGAGAAGTAGTATTGGATACTTTGTAAAACTAAGGAACAAAAAAACCGATGAGATGTTGAATATGCGGCTTACGTAGGCCGCCATGAATTGATCATAGATTCTTACTTTCTTCAGTAATCACACTCTTGGTGCCAATTGCCCAGATATTTATCAAGTAGGCCCAATTTTAAGGAAAAGGTTAGTTAGTAACTTGTATGCTAAAAGTTTTACATACCATCTATATCCTTGTCAATCCAACAAATAGGCATGCACAAGGCACGACCATAGAATGTTTCTTTAACTACATGCCCATGATGCCCATAATTCGATGTATTATCCTGTGTATCAGGTTTGACTCGACCTGATGATAAAGGTTAATTTTGTAATCTTCGTAGATATTTTGGGGTGCGAACATACCTATCCTTCTTCAAACTTTTAAAATATGTGACTCGTTAAAACTGAATCGTGAGACCTATAAAACATGTCGGGTTATGTTTGAATGACTTTAGTGATGATTTCTACGGCATGTAAATATAGTTGAATTTCCAGCCTGTAGTAGAGTTAATGTAATTGGATGTAAAAACTTATATTAGGTTATACATTGAATTGTGATGATAAAAAGTTATATAGCTTAATTTGTATTATTATTTTATTACGAACATTTTTCACTATTTCGTATATTTATTATAACTAATGAAGGCATAAAAGAAATTTAATAAAAAAATAGTACTCGCGGGATATAACGATGAATTTTGTATCGTAATTTAGGTGATTTAATTTGCGTGTTAGATTTAATAATGTAGACCGTTGAATGTAAATGGCATTACTAGACTTTAACGTGAGAACAGTCAGCAACAGCTAATATGTGTGAGCTTGTAAACTCTTATGTCCAGTTGCCTATGAAAGCTTAACTAAAGCCGCGTTACATTTTTCAGCTTTTATACTAATCATATTTATCAATTTATGTCATCATGTCATTACACTACCACATGCTAAATTAATTAATGTTTAAACTAATCATATCATCATGTTATTTCTTCCATGACTTCAAATCTTTTACATTATTAACTTTGATCATCTACGTATTAATTTTATATATTACAATCTATGTTATATACTCCATATTAAAAGGCATTTCGAATCAAGTCCACATGTCACGTGTCACTCTCCAAAACGTTTTGAATCAAGTCTACATGACGTGGCACTTTCTCGACTTTTTTTTTTTTTTTTGTTATTGGCAATTACTCCATGTTATTACACATTAATTAAAAAAATAAATAAATTAGTAACATGATTTATACTTCGTATAAGATTTGAACTCTTGATCACAAAGTTAATTAGTAGGAAGTTAACCATGGAACTATGTCTTAATATGTGTCTTTAATAGCCAAAATAAAAAATTTATTGTAATACATGACTTAATATGTATCTTTAATATCATTCATAATTACTGTAATATATGTAATAACTCGAGGCATCGTCCGGGCCCAAAAACTAGTTTACAAATGGTATGTTGTTGGAATAGTGTAATATTGTATTTACTTTCGAGAAAATACAAGCTATATACAATCAAATACATAAAGGGCTTGTCCCAATTTATCTCCTAGATAAACAAGGGATGTTATTATGTTAATCCCATGGCATAATAGTAAATAAATTGAAAGTAAACAAAAAAAAAAAAAAAAAACAAATTGTAAAAAAAATTTATTCTTCTTCCTCTTCTCGGTCAAACCTAAGTACCGCCATTACCCATCAGACCCAAGTACCGCCACCATCTTCTCCGTCACGAGTCCCACCATGGCACCACGACTACAACCTTCAGTTGAACGTCATCCCGTCGGAGAAGGTATGATCTTCCCCTTTCCTCTTCATCGTCAGCTTGTCGATCAACCACGAAACCCATCACCGCCACTATCTTCTCCGTCAACTTGCCGATAGCCGCCGCCGATTAAACGAAAACCCTAATTGTAAAGGGAGAAAATAAGGGCAAGGTTAACCCTTACAGGGAAGGGTTAGGTCGTCCTCCATTGAAACCCCTTGAAGCTCTTCCATTTCTGCATTGAAGTTCTTCCATTTTCGGTTGAACTTCCATTAATGGTGAAGGTGCAGTAAACCAGATTTTTTTTATTTTTTTTTTTCAGATCTATAAAAAGTTCTTCCATTTTTGGTTGAACTTCCATTGATCGTCTGTCAGTACCAATTTGCCTTGTTGGGTTAAATTACAGAAATACCCATGCTTTTTTTTTGGTGGGAAATGACAAAAATGGGGTTGGATAAACTTCTCAAGTTTATCAAGGAGATAAATATGAATTCTCTCAATACATAAATGATCAAAGCAAGCTATATATACGCTAACATGTGTAATAATGAAATTGTCGCAATTAATAAAGAACTATATTGAAGGAAGCATGTTAGTTGACAATTTGACTTTTACAAATTTTGGTATTGTATTAACTTTTAGAACTATTTACCTACTTCATTTTGACTATTTATAATTAATTATGCCTATGAAAAACAAAGTCATGTAATTTCATGGTAGATTTTCTTTAGGCATGCAACATCATGTTAGATTTATTTTTAGGGCATGTAGCATCATGTAAGATTTGTTTCAATATAATTATAAATACTCATATGCCTTTAACATACAATTATTTAGAGATATTAATAATTAAAATTGAGTGTTGAAATGTTTAAATTAGTATAGTATAATTGCTTCATTTAGGAATTCTTTGTCGAGTAAATTACTAAAGAAAGGAGAAATCACAATTTTAGAAACTTTTATTGGTTTATCATTTAATATAATTGCTTCATCAGGAATACTTTGTCGAGAAAGTTACTTTTTTTTTTTCAATACATCTATTGCCAATATGTTAGTCAAGATAATTGTATTTTGCTACTTTGTATTCAAGATCTCAAAACTTAACGTGTTAAAAAATCACGAAAATGAAGGAAAAATAATCCAAACCCTGAAATTGAGAAAGTTGACCTAGTTGCTTGCTAAACTAATATGGGTAAGAAAATGTAATGAACTTGTAACTTTCAAACTCATTGCGGAAATTATAAATCAACCCAACCAAAAATTAATTCAAGCCCAACTTATCGATTTGAACACGACTCAACCAATTCGATTATCGTTTGAAATATCTTAAAACTATTGAATGTTATTGATGAAACATGTTTTAAAGTCATAAGCTTGACTAACTACCAAAGTTCAATCCAAGCAAATCTACTCCATTGTTCACATTTTTCATATCCAAATAAAATTGCAATTAAAGGGGGAGGATGTCCAAATTACAGCCGCGTTGAAGCCGTAAAAGTGTGTCTTTCTCCAAACATTCCTTTTCTTTCAATTTCTTCCCCACACCTTTTCTCAGCCGTCTTTTCTTGCTCACTTCCTCTTCACCCAACTCAATCACAAATTTCTCAATCAGACCTTTTTACTTATTTTAATCAATCACCCCAAATTATTTTTTATATATCATTCGATTATTTTTAAAAAGATCGAAACTTTTAGTCTAATTAAAACAGAGTATCTTATTTATTAAAGATCTGGCTAGTTTATGGAAGAGGGATAGTACTTGGTCTCATGTTTTATTTAGTTGGACTAAGTCTAATTTTTAGTTTAATTGTAATTAAGATATCTTAATTTACTTGAATTTGAAGTAGTTGAAGACATTTGGGGTGCATGTCATGCAATTGAAAGCAACTAATTTGGGGGTTTGAAGATTTCAGAGAAACGAAGACACGCTTTCTAGAAGATTAAAACTATATTATATACAATTTAATTTGTT